AGTCAATAGGCCAAGTAAAGAATTTTTTTTAAAGGAGCAAGTCTGTTTTATTTAGTTACAGGTGGCCTCCTTCTAAGAGGACTGGGAATTGTTGTTTTCTAAGCAGTCCAGGACACCCTTTCTGTGGTGTCTGTAAAGCTGGGTGTCCCCAACCAAGCCTTGCTTCTTGCTATCCTCAAAGAAAGATTTTGAAGGCTGGAGGTGTGACTCATGTGGTAGAGCACCTGCCTAGCAAGTATAGAGACCTGAATTCAAACTTCAGTGTATTAAATGAGAGAGAGAGAAGAAAGAAAGAAAGAAAGAAAGACCCCCACTTTCACTATATTTGATGTCAGTATAACATGTGGAGGAGACGGGGACAAACAAGTCGTTTAAGGATTCAGGTGGACCTGTTGCAACAATGAGAAGTACAAAATGTCATGTCAAAACCAGCTTTACAATGTCGGTGGGGGGGGAGGGAGGGTATGATTGGGTGGGGGGAAGGGGGGAGGCTGGGAAGGGAGGTGAAGGGTAAACAAAGGAGGAGGCTGCAATGCTTGGTAAGAAATGTATGCATTAACCTGCCCATGTAATTGTAACCCCTCTGTACAGTATGTTCTTAAATAAAATAAAATAAAATTTAAAAAAAAAAAAGAAAGAAAGAAAGAGAGAGAGAGAAAGAAAGAGAAAGAGAGAAAGAAAGAGAGAAAGAGAGAGAGAAAGAAGGAAGGAAGGAAGGGAGGAAGGAAGGAAGAAAATTGAGTTGAGGCAGGAACGTTCTTCATAAAATGTTTTTCACTGTGATAGGGTTCATAACTTTTAGGAGGCTCAACCTTGGGGAAATAAATCTTGTATCATAGGACATTCATAATGCACAATATTGATTATGTTTGATTGGTGTTGTATTTTAATGTGTGCTGGGCATAAGGAGGTCTTGGCTGATGGAGATATAGTTCAGACACTAACTCTTGCCCTACATTAAGGTCTGCACACCACTGGCACTCAAATATAGACTCCAAAATTCGACCTCTCAAAATGTGGCCTCTCTAAGGTATAATTCACTGCACAACAGTACAAAGAAGTTTCAATTTGACATGGCATTTATATGTAAAATGCATCTTGATCAGTGTCATCTCTTCCATCATTCTTCCCACCCTCCCATCTTTCCTATCCCCACCCATCGCCAAAAGTTTTCTAGTTCCATTTTCATACGTTGAGTATTATGCCTATATTCACCTACCATTCTTCTCTCCCTTTCTCAGTCAAGCCATGTTTCATTTTTCTGGTATTTATTTTGTTAAACGACTTGTTGGTTGTTCAAAGGAGTTACCCATGGGATACCACACCTATATATGCCATAGTTTCATCAGTTTGATCATATATATGTATATGTATATATACATACATATGGAGCTGTATGTATTTTTCATATACACATGAGAAGGAACATGTGTTCCTTGTCTCTCTGAGCCTGACTTCCTTATACTTTTATTGCACTGAAGCTTATCTTATTGGAAGAGATGGAGATGATGTCTATTACTATTTTACTAAATGGAAAAGAGTTCTCTTATTTATTTATTTGTTTGTTTGTTTGTTTATTATTTTGTATGCTGTTCCTGGGGCTTGAACTCAGGGCCTGGGTTGTCTAAGAGCATTTTTGCTCAAAGTTAGAACTCTACCTCAGGAGCCACAGCTCCACTACAGGCCCTTTGTTGATTACATGGAGATAAGAATCTCAAGGACTTTCCTGCCTGGGCTGGCTTTGAACTATTCTGCTTAGATCTCAACCTCTTGAGTAGTGAGGATTACAGGTGTCAGCCACTGGCTCCTGGCTTGGGTTCTCTTATTAAGATAAAATTACACTTTGAGGATAAAGAAGAGAGGATTATAGTTGGGATAAAATGTAGGAGAGTGCTAAGGGAGGTATAGTAGGAGAGATAGGGCTTAAAGGGAATGGGAAATGCAGCAACAGGAATATGATAAGACTCTTGTAAAGCAATAGGAAGGATGCTTTCATAAAACAACTTTAAGTTCGTAGACTCTCTTGAGGCAAAGAATCCCCCTTCTTTCCTGCTGTAAGGATTGATTCCAGGTGATCATTCAGAGGTTTAAAGACATTATGAATGAATAGAAGTCAGGATCTTGTTGCTTTTTAAGAATCTAGAGATTAAACATACATTGATGTAAAACTCCTTGTTTGCTTTTTTTTTTTTTTTAATTTTGTTTTTGGGTCCGGTCGTGGGGCTTGAACTCTGGGCCTGGGTGCTGTCCCTCAGCTCTTCAGCTCAAGGCTAGCGCTCTACCACTTGAGCCACAGCGCTACTTCCGGCTTTTTTCTTTTTGCTTATGTGGTGCTGAGGAATCGAACCCAGGGCCTCATGCATGCAAGGCAAGCGCTCTACCACTGAGCCACCTTCTCAGCCCCTCCTTGTTTGCTTTTATTTGCTTTGACTCTTGTGCAGTTGGAAGTTGTTGTTGTTGTTGTTTTAATCAAAGCTCTTTAGAAATGTCCATTTTGCCTGATTTGAACCAAAGCAGTGGGTAAGGGAAGGGATAGAGGCAACAGATATTTATTGAATACCTAGTATGCTAAATGTTTAACTTTATGCAATCATTCCAAAGAAATGAGTACTGCAATGATAATTTTAAAAATTAGGAATCTAAACCTTAGGGAAGTAATTTTCCCAAGGGTACAAAAACCTGACTTCTCCAGTTGCTTGTCTCAAACAAATTTTGTAGAAATCTTGTTATTTACCACTTGATTTACATTTTGTGTTTGCACTAAACAGTACTCACAATGCTTTAGAATTTAGCACATACCTATTTAGTTTCCTGAGTTTGTTAGGAAATGTATCTTTCCTGGTAAGCTACATATTAGAAATAATGCTGGGTAATGCTGTGATAAAGGTGCAGATTCCAAGGGCTGGGAATGTGGCTCAGTGGTAGAGTGCTTGCCTAATGTACATGAAGCCCTGGGTTCAATTCCTTAGTACCACATAAGCAGAAAAAGCCAGAAGTGGGGCTGTGGCTCAAGTAGTAAAGCTTTAGCCTTGAGCAAAAGAAGCTCAAGGATAGTGCCCATGCCCTGAGTTCAAGCCCCAAGACTGGCCCTCCAAAAAAAGGTGCAGATCCCAGAGCTTTGCTTACTGAATGCTTCTAAAACTTTGATCTGGTCTCCTTGAGCTCTTGAGGGAACAATAAAACTCTAAGGAGGAACAGACCACTTCACAGCCACATGTGTTACCCTGCCCTGCTGCTACCCTAGTTACACTTACATTCCAGGAACATACAGATCTCAGCCAGCAGTAATTGCATACTAACTCCATCTGTGAAGGAAAACCAAATGCTTTACAATGAAGCACCTGCCATCATCTCTCACAGGACCCTCTGCCCTTTATAGAATATTCATGAAGTCTTTCTTTGAAATCTCTGCCTGAGTTTCAAAAGAGTCCCTAAAGGAGAAAGAACCATTTCATAAGGCAAACAGGAAATCCAGCAAGATTAAGGAGGCACTGATTTCCAAAAACTGTACTTTATCCACAGTTAGATACCATCTTACATTTCTTGAGCAATCAAAATGCTTTCTTCCATTATGCCTGACCATGTGACCAGAGAGAAAAGAAAGAAAGGAGAAAAATAAAATCAGTAGTCCCAAGCAGAATTTCCCTCTTTCCATTTTCTCTATTTGTGTTTGATTAAAAGTTTTTTTTTTTTTTTAAAGTCGGTCATGGGGCCTGAACGCTGTCCCTCAGCTCTTAAGCTCAAAGCTAGCGCTCTACCACTTGAGCCACAGTGTCACTTCCAGCTTTTTCTGCTTATATGGTGCTGAAGAATGGAACCCAGAGTCTCATGCATGCAAGGCAAGCACTCTACCACGGAGCCACCTTCCCAGCCCCGATTATAATTTCTTTTATACATATTTACTTGTGACTTTGGTACATAGTGACCTGAAATGCAAAGAAGTTTAGGAAAGTAAAGGTAAATAGAACCATAATAGGTTATCAATTTTTTAATGATTCTTTATAAGATTTTGGGGGGAGGGGAGGGAGATAACTAATTCACATTTACAAAGTTTGAACAGTTATAAAGACTTACAAAGAAGATCATATTGTGATGAAAGTTGGGGCATTATACTTGGCAATAACCTCAATCTATTTAATGTTTCTTAGCATATGTAATATACATATAATATTATAATATTTGGTGTATAATATATAGTTCCAGTTTTCAAAAAATACAAATAATAAGAAAATGTAGGATGATTACATGCAAAATTAAAATCTTTATGTTAAAGAAAAATGTTGATTGCTGGAAACTAGCACCTTTTTAAAATAACTATACTGGAATTTGTTGTTACTATGGGACTATTGGGATATTCTTTCTATAGTAGATACAAAGAGATTTTTTCCAAGGATTTTTCATAATAGTAATCCTCCTGTCTCCTTAACTTCCGGTTCACTTTATTCTTCTCTTTCTCTGCTTATCTTCATAAGATCCTGCTCTATTTTTCTTCTCCAGCCTTAGCATCTCCCAATATTCAGAGCATAGAATTAGCTTCCAGGATGAACTCTCTATCTACCACAAAAACAAATCAGTTTATTTTAGCAAGATCTTGTTTCTATGTACTAGCTCATTATATATATATGTGTGTGTGTGTGTGTGTGTGTGTGTGCGTGTGTGTATGTGTGTGTGTGTGTGTGTGTGTCTTGCTAATGTTTTAAGCAGGTTTCAGCGCTTTTTCCTGTCATCTTATTTGGAATTGCAAATCCTAAAGATGTAAAGGCAACAAGGCTACATCCTTGTTTATAAAAATAAGAAATATTTCTTGAATTTTAATCGGACTATCCCTTCTCAGACTCGTAGGGATGGATTTATTTTTAGTTATAGAAATGACCCCTTCTCCACTCTCAGCACGCTGCTTTACCCTCCTCCCACTAAATTCATTGAAAGAGGTCCCCTGGGCCGGGTCTGGAGAGCATCGTTGCTTCCATGGCAACCAGACATTAGCTTCCTCTGTTACCATGGTACCGGCTCGGCCCAGCCGGGTGGTCACTATGGTAACTAGAGGTGGGTCACGGCTGTCAGGGCGCATGCGCGCGGTGCCGTTGAGTTGCGCGGCGCGCCCGCGGGCCCCTCAGCTATCTTCGACATGGCGCTGAGACGGCGACGAGGCGTCCGGGTCTGCGCCCGGCTGCCCGACTTCTTCCTGCTGCTGCTTTTCAGGGGTGAGCTGGCGCGTTTCTGGAGGGTCTAGGAGCGAAGGGAGCCGGGCGGGCCGGAGCGGCTGAAGCCGGTCCAGGCAGAATAGCGGTTCCCAGCCCCGGGGACTCCGGGGGTCCCGGCTCGGTTCCGGGGCGGGGAGTGGGGCGGGCTGGGCCCCGGAGGGGCGCCCTCGCGGGGCGGTCCGTGCCGGGCGACCCTCGGCCCGCCGCGGCGCCCGCGTGGGGCGAGTTGCTCTCCGGGACGGCGGGGTGGTCCCCAGGCCTGGGCGGGCGAAGGACGGCGGCCGCTGCGGCGTGGGCTGGGGAACTTGCTGGAAACCCCGGGGAGCCGCGCGGTGCGCGGCGGTGCGCGGCGCGGGGCCCTGCCCCAGCCCTGCCCCAGCCCGGCCAGGCCTGGCCGGCTGCTCGCGCGCAGCCCTCGGCGGGGAGGAGGGGGGACCTGCCCTGCTTCGGTCTCCTGCCATCGACTGAAGAACTGGACTGGGCAAAGCCAGCTTTCCCGAAACCCTTGGTGCAGAGGGTTTGAGGACTTTCCTTTGTCTCCAGGAGACTCGGACACCCCCCCCCCCCCATAACATCTGGGCCATTTTTGATGAGGATAACACTGATACGCTCGAAAGTTTTGTTTCCCTCCTCCTTCCTCCTCACTGTTTTGGAATTACCTCATGGTAGTATCTTCCTTGTCCTGCCCGTTAGACAGAAGTTTCCATCTACCGAGCATTAATATATACACATATATATTAATGTGCACAAGCACATACACACAGAGCACTTGGAAACCGTTATCTCATGTCCTCGTTTACAGCAGCTGTATGAGGAGGGTTCTAACCAACCCGTTTTCGGAGAATAATGGATCATCTTGTTTTGTTTTGTTCCCCCCCCCCCCCCCCCCAAAGCTGCCTTCAGGATGCACAGCGTCAAACTCACATTTGCTAAAAGCATCATCCCAAAGCAGTTGTTTTGGTCTGGTAGCCTTCCAAATGTAAAAGCCTTCCCAAAGTAACCACCAGTCCAGCCCCTTTTCTGTCCTTAGGTCATCTGGACTTTCGGCTTTGTTCTTATCATCATCCCTTCAGGTTTTCAAACAAAACAAAACAAAACAAAACACCAAGGGATTGTGTGGGAGTGAGGGGGGGGGAGGGTGAACAGTCTTCGGAAGACAAAGCATTTTAGTGTTCATTCTATTGGGATGCTAGCAATGGTGTATTAAAAAGTAGGGGGTCTGGTCCAGAAGCACTGGAAACTGGGAGAAGGATGTCTCCGTTTGTGGTTGGTGTGACCTGTGCTTTGCCTGGAAGTTAACTTCCAAAACCAAGTGCAGTTGGGAGATGTAAGTTTCCAAAGGGTAGCCAGGGGACAAGAGTGTCAGGAATGTCCAGCTCCCACTGTGTTACTCACACTGACACTGTCCTATTCACAAACTCGAACAACTCCCTATTGTCAAAGAGGTTTGTTCACATGAAAGTTTGCAGTTTTTATTGTAGAAACATTTGGCATTTAACTTCAGGAATTAGTTTCCACTTAGTGGTTTGTTAAATAATCTGATTTTGCCTTCCCTGAGCAGCTAATTTTGTGGCTTTCTTGCTATAATATACTGGGATTTACCTTCAGATTATAAGAAGAAAAATCAATTTGCAAACCAGAATCAAAATGGTAGGATGTAGCTTGAAGGGATGTAGCTTGCTTGCTTTATAATTTATTTATTTGTCGATTGTGGGGCCTGAGCTCAGAGCCTTGACGCTGTCCTTGAACTCTTTTGCTGAAGGCTAGCACTCTACCATTTGAGCCATAGTTCCATTTCCAGTCGATGAGTGGTTCATTGGAGATAAGAGTCTAGTGGGGACTTTTCTGCTAGGACTGGCTTCCAAGCACAATCCTCAGATCTCAGTCTCCTGAGTAGCTAGGATTATAGGCATGAGCCACCAGCGCCTGACTCTTTTCAAAAATGTAAAAGAAAAACTTTAAGTTTTTTTCTATTATTTTTACCCTAAGCATACCCTAAGGCTTTATTCTTTTTTACAGATCATAAAATGGTGTCTTTTTTAGCTTTCAGGATTTTTTTCAATTGTATTACTATTCTGTTTTATCAGTAAAAAAGAAAAGTTCCCCACATAATAGCCAACATTTCTTTGGTCGTTAACCTTTGCTGGTCTCTGTTAAAAACTTTAGCATGGACTTTCCTACCTGGGCTAACACAGTCTTTTAAGAGTTTGTTACTATGATTTTTCCCATCTTGTGGATGAAGAAATAAAAATATGATGAGATGAAGTCACTTACTCATGGTGATATCCAATTGTGTTAGTAAAATTTTTATTTGTTCTGCTTGACAATGAGATTCTTATTATGGGTTAGTGTAGCAAAATTGTTAAGTTTTAAAGCTACATCATTTCCATGTAAAATATCCCTCTGTTGAATTGGTGACAGGTGCAGTTCAGCTTTTCAAATGTTATGCCATATGTCTTTCTTGAATGATTAATGCAGTGTTTATTGTTAGTTTCAAAATCTTTTGATGACCTAAAGAGAAGTATTTTATTGAGAATTAAAACAATAATAGTCTGTATTCTCAAAGTAAGATAGTTTGTGCGCTGAAGGGTTACAAAACCAAAAACTCAATTTCTAGGAAATTTTTGAGGAAATATTCTAATTCTTTTATTTGCATGTGTTTGGACACTTGAACTATATTTTAGAATGACCTGTCATGTTAGGTTGTTTTAATTCCTTTACAATATCTGATAGTTAAAATCCTTGTCACATTTGTATATTTTAAGACAACACCAGGCCCTGAAAATATGCAGTGCTTCAAATCAGCTGCTCATTCCCAGATGACCTGTTGATGGGCATTTGTTCTTGAGTATTACAGGCCAAAAAGACTGGCTGGATAGCGGCTAGAGATTTTGGTCATAAGTAATTGCAGTGTTACACCTAGTCAGAGTTATAAGCCACCCAATAACTAAGCTTTGTGGAACTTGCTCTTAAGGCATCCTGTAAGGTAGGTTTAAATAAGTTATTTTGGAAGAACCCAGACCAAGTGTATTTTCTGAGATTGCCATGTAATGTCACAGAAGCAGCTATGGATTTAGCAGCTGTTAGAGATCTGAAATTAGCAAATTCTTTCTCCATAAATTCTTTAGATTTTTTTTTGAAGCACAACTGGGCTAAAGAAAAGAGAATGTGTGAATGAAATTAGCATGTATAGAGTTAATAAATTTAGATTCTCTCTCTCCCTCTCCCTCCCTCCCTCTTAATCCCTCTCCCTCCTTTCCTCCCTCCTTCTCTCCCTCCCTCCCTTCCCTCCCCCTCTCTTTCTCATTCTCTATTTCTTATACCAGTACTGGGGCTTGAATTCAGGGCTTGGGCTCTGACCTTAAGCATTTTTGCTTAAGCTTGTACTCTACCACTTGAGCCACAGCTCCACTTCTGGCTTTGTGAGGCGTGTGTGTGTGTGTGTGTGTGTGTGTGTGTGTGTGTGTGTGTGTCCTCCTCCTCCTCATTCTTTTTTTTTTGGTCAGTCGTGGGGCTTGAACTCTGGGGCGTGTGTGTGTGTGTGTGTGTGTGTGTGTGTGTGTGTGTGTGTGTGTGTGTGTGTGTGTGTGTGTGTCCTCCTCCTCCTCATTCTTTTTTTTTTGGTCAGTCGTGGGGCTTGAACTCTGGGCCTGGGCGCTGTGTCCTCCTCCTCCTCATTCTTTTTTTTTTGGTCAGTCGTGGGGCTTGAACTCTGGGCCTGGGCGCTGTCCCTCAGCTCTTCAGCTCAAGGCTAGAGCTCTACCACTTGAGCCATAGTGCCACTTCCAGTTTTCTGATGGTTAATTGGAGATAAGAGTCTCGGACTTTCCTGCCTGGCCTGGCTTTGGACTTTCCTGCCCTGCCTGCCTTTGAACCGTGATCCTCAGATCTCAGCTTCCTGAGTAGCTAGGATTATAGGTGTGAGCCACCGGGCCGGGCTATATTCTCTTTTAAAATGTGTTTAAAATGAGGTGCTATGAACACAAATATGTATATGAATGTATTTGTTAGGATTCAACCCAAGTTTTAAGTTCTTGAATGTGTCCTCTGAATTCTAGTAGTGTTTCAAAATATTTTCACTGGGGAATGAAGAGATCCTAAGAGAAAATTTGGTAAGCACATTTCTTTATACTCAGTTTAGGAATTACAGAATCCACTGTGGTACTCTGTTTGGAGAGCTAAAGTGTCAAGCTAGTGCCTTTTTGCCACTTTCCATAGCACACAGAAAACTTTCAGAGAATTAACCCTTGTTTCTGATGTTCAGTGTGAGGTTTTGTGTTAGTATGTTTGTGTTTTCTTAGTTTCTGTAGTTTCTATTGTGTATTATATATTACATTTCCCATGAGTAATTACAGAAGTTACAGAGTTTCTTGTGTGGAAAAATTAAGCTGTTTAATGAAATTAAGACCATATAAAGCCAGGTGCTGGTGTCTCATGCCTACAGTCTTAAGTACACAGGTGGCTGAGATCTGAGGATCACAGTTCAAAGCCAGCCTGGGCAGACAAACCCAAGAGACTCTTATCTCCAGTTAACTAGCATATAAGCCAAAAAGTGGAGGTGTAGCGCAAGTGGTAGAGCTCTTAAGAACATGAGGCCCAGAATTGAAGCCCCATTGCGGAGACACACACACACACACACACACACACACACACACACACACACACATTTTTCCTTATGTCTTAATTATTTTCAGAGCATCCCAAGGTCCTGTGATTTAGCCTTGTCTGCAAACTATTACTAAAATCAAATTCTGCATTATCCATGCTGTATCTGGCAATCTCAGTTCACAGTGATCTTTCCTATCGTTAAATAATCTGTCTATCTATCTATCTATCTATCTATCTATCTATCTATCTATCTATCTATCTATCTTTGTAGTTCATCTTAGTACAGCAAATAACTCTTGTTATGTGGGCACTTTTCTTCATGTAAATGGTACAAAGTGAATCACGCATTCCCTTCCTCAAGAATCAGGACAACCAAAAACAACAAACAAACA